GATTCGCCTGTCATGGCAGTTCCTACTATCTCTGAAACAGCTATAAAACTATATATTGAAGTCAGTGTTATAACTTATGGAGGAACTTGGTAATGGTGCACATAAGCACCTGCTGATGCCTTGTAGTTGATACAGTTGCAAGTTTGGGAGATGCTGACAAGGAAAATATGACAATTACTGCAGTGCATCCTGAGGAGGGTATGCTGTCTCCCAAGCATGTCGGTGCTGAAGACAGTGGATATTTGAGCTGATGAGATTCTGATTAAGACAACTGCTTTGTCTTGTATGGTGTTCAAATTTATGAATGTTATTTAAGGTTCTTGAGTAGATTTGTAGCTCAGGTTGTGGATGCTAAGGTTGGTTGGCTCACCGAGCTGGTTTGTTAGTTTGCAGACGTTTCATTACCCTGCTGGGTAACTCCATCAGTGCAGCCTCCGATGAAGCGCTGTTGTGTTTTCCCGCCTGGTATTTAAACTCTGGGTTCTGTTGGATTTGATTACCTCATTTCCAGTTTTCCTTCGCAGTGGCATATACGTAGGGTCCAGTTCGATGTATTTGTTGATGGCATTCTTGGTGGAGAACCAGACCTGCCTGTAGGAATTCCCGTGCTTGTCTCTGTTTGGTCTGTCCTAGGATTCCTGGTGTTGTCCCAATCGACCTGGTAGTTCTCCTTTTCCGTGTGAATGGAGATGAGTGAGTATTGGTCACGTCCTTTTGTTGTTAGTTGGTGTTCATGTACTCTTGTGGCTAATTTTCTTCCTGTCTGTCCAATGTAATGGTTCTTGCAGTCTTTGCATGGAATTTTGTATATTACATTGGTTCTGTCCATAGTGAGTAAAGGGTCTTTGGTTCGAGTTAGCAGTTGGCATAGGGTTGACGTGGGTTTGTGTGCTACTGTGATGCCCAATGGTCGTCGGAGTCTTGTGGTCAACGGGGAATTCATAGCGCTTCATTGGAGGCTGCACTGATGACGTTACCCAGCAGGGTAATGAAACATCTGCGACAAAATGAACCAGCTCGGCGAGCGAACCAACCACAGTATGAATGTTATTGGGTCTTTGTCCATCTGGGTAAGTGGAGGATATTCCATCAAATTCTTCCCTGACTCAAAAAAAATTAGAAACAAACAATAGGAGAAAGAATAGACTAGTCAGCCCTTCAAGCCTGCTGTGCCATTCAATTTGATTATAGATAATCCAACTCAGTACCATGTTCTCACTTTTGCCCATTCTCTTTGACCCCTTAAGCCCAAATGCTACATCAATCTCCTTCTCGAAAACATTAAATGTTTTGGGCTTAACCACTTTCTGTGGCAGAGAATTCCACAGGCTCACCACTCCTTGAGTGATTTTTTTTTCCCTATTTCAATCCTGAATGGTCTGTTGTTCTTAGAATGTAGTCTCCAGTTCTGGACTCCCTTATCATTGGGAAGATCTTTCCTGTGTTTACTGTGTCTGGGCCTGTGTAGCACTGCCAGGATTTCATAGGTTCATCTGAGATCCCCCTTCATTCTTTTAAACTCCAGTGAGTATAGTCCTAACTAATCCAGTCTCTCCTCATACTGTCAATCCTGCCATCCCAGGAATCAGTCTAGTAAATCTTTGTTGTGCTCCCTCCATAGCTAGAACATCCTTCCCCAGATAAGGATATCAATACTCCACACAACATTGAGGTTTGGTCTCACCAAAGCCCGGTACAATTCCAGCAAGGCATCTTTGACTTGTTACTATCTGAGTGTTAGACAGGCTTTGAAGCCAGTCTCTTCAAAATATCCAATCTCCAGCCTGTTTGAATAGCCAAGCCATTTAAGTAGCTTTTCCAGAGTGCTTTGGCCAGCGGTGGCCTCCAGGATGTTGATATGGGAAGTTCAGTGATGGTAATGGTGTGTATTTTCAAAATGAAATGTTTAGGCATTTGTGTGTTATTAATATTGTTTACTGCATATCAACTCAAACCTTGAAGTTGCCAAGGACCATGCTGTGTGCAAACATGGACTACTTAATTATCTGAGAAATGTTATGTAGAGCTGTAAAATTGTTGAAAAGCACTCCTGATGATGTGATGTGAGAAGTTAGTGATGTAGCAACTACAGATAGTTGGGCCAAGATACTGGTCTGAGACTTCCTTTCAATATTACTGTGAAGTTGAGGTGTTTTGCCAACAAAAACCGCAACTACATTCCATTGTGCTAGGTATGACTCTAGTCACTGGAAAAGAAGCTCCGTTGTCTTCAGCTTTACTACGGTTCTTAGAGGCCAAATTCAACTGAAAGCTGCCTTCCGTCAATGGTAGTTGTTCCCACTTCACCTCTGAAATTCAGTTTTAGTGTCAATGTTATTATGGCAGGCCTAAAATTGAGTATTGGTGAGCATGTTAGTGATATTTGTTGCTGATTCTGTCCATCATTTATTAATTACTGAGAATAGGCTAATGGTGTGATAAGAGTTGGAATGGGCGGCATGGTGGCTCAATGGTTAGCACTGCTGCCTCACAGCACCAGGGGCCTGGGTTTGATTCCCCCTCGGGCGACTGTCTGCGTGGGTTTCCTTCAGGTGCTCTGGTTTCCTCCCACAGTCCAAAGATGTGCAGGCTAGACGGATTGGCCATTCTAAATTGCCCATAGTATTCAGGGATATGTAGATTAGGTGGTTTTGGGGAATGGGTCTAGGTGGGATGCTCTGAGGGTCAGTGTGGACTTGTTGGGCTGAAGGGCCTGTTTCCACACTGTAGGGAGTCTATGGAATTGCCCTGCTTTTTACAGACAGGAGGCATACCTGAAAAATGTTCTGTGTTGTTAGGTAGATCACAGAATTCTAAATTGACTGGAACAGTTTAGTTAGAAACACAGCTTTTGGCACTCAGGTCTTCATCACTCCAACTCAGACATAGTGAGCTGGTACCCTTTGTTGTGTGTAAACAAAATGCATTGGCTGAAAATAGTATCCATGATGGTGGAGAACCTTAAGAGTTATCAGGGAAGGATTGCCAACTCTGCATAATGACTGAAGATGGTTATTTCATCATCTTTGTCTTTTGAACCTATGTGCTTGCCTCCACTGTTATTGAGAGTAGGTACATTGGAGCATCCTCCTCCTCCACCACTATCCATGATTCATTTTGGAAAAATTAGAGCTTTGACTTTGGTCATGGGATCATTTAGTTCAGGCTATAGCATACTACTTTTCAAGATTGTACACAGTCCAAAAATGCACTTCCACCAGCATGACACTTGCTTTTGGGGTCTGGCTAGTGCTCTTAACATGTTCTTTTACACTTCCCATTAAACCACGTTTGGTAAATGTCGTAAGTGCATTAAAACAAAAGTGGTATGCAAGTTATTTTATAGCGCCTTTTAACGTGATGAAATATCTCCTTGTGCTTCTCCGGAATGTTCTTAAACAAGTATGACACAAGCCATATACAGGAGAAATAAGCGTATAACAGACAGAATGTGGAATTAAGTGAAAAGTGTGTAGGTTGAGGAGTGTGAAAGTACAAGAGATTTAAAGAAAAACACGGCCTAGTGTACGCCAGAGCTCTCTTCCCTCTGAATCATAAGATGTGGCTTCACACCCACTTCAGCATTTTGATCTTGTAATTCAGGCTTACACTTGTAATAATGTTTTGAGGGGGCTCTGCAATGTCAGAAGGTCATTTTTTCAATGAAATGTCATACTAAGGCCCGTTATTTTCTGGTTTATGGGAGACTACTGTGTGCAAGTTGGCTGCTGCATTTGCTACCAAAATGGTAACACATCAAAAGGACTTCATTTTTTTGAAGTGCTAAACATTCAAAGATAGTGAAAGGTGCCCTGTCAATGTAGGCTATTTTCTTCCCGGAAGTGCATAAGGCAACTTGCATGAGGCAATACGCAAGAAGGTAAGAATTTGTAAGAAAGTTCGCAAAACACCTGGTAACTGAGACAGTAGGAAAAGTACAGAAGGGAGCAATAGACAATGTGAAGGAAAGCATGAAATGCTGTGCATCACAAAGTATATGTTCAAAAGATGGATAATGTGGATGAATGAGTGAAGATTTGAGAGACAGATGTAGAATGAATATAGAGTCAGAGATTGTGTAAATGTGGATTTGAGATCAAATGGAGCCAGTTATGATGGAGCCTTTGCATTCTTGTTTTAATTAATTACAATCACACTAAAAAAGCACAACCAAGACTACATTTCATGTCTTTACTGTCAAATTGGACACTTTTACAAAAAGGATTTCACCAGAAGCACATTCACATAGTACAATAGCACAATAACAATACAAACTGATACTGTAGTAATGATATAGGATGTCAAACTGATCCACAGTCAGACAGTGATACAGTAGCTCTGAAACAATTCAAATAAAGCATATAAATGTAATAAAGGTAGTACAGCCACCTCAGTTAAGGCAAATAATATTTTACAATGTCCAGTGTCTAATTGGTGCTTATTGCAAATTAATGCACCAACTTATAAACGGTTTGCCTTCAACCTTTACACAATCCAATAATCTTCACAGTGCACTGATAATTGACCCAAAGATATTTCTGTTATTCCCCACAGCAATACTAGAACATATCAGAAACAAACAGAAGCTCCAAAAGCATTCACAAAATGATAGGTTAACCTCTCAAAACAAGAGGAGGCCAAGAGAACTCCTTTAATATGTTGTCAAAACATGTAGCAGTGTATTGACTATTCCAAATGAACAATTAACAGTTCATTTCTTTTTGGTTAGCCGACGGTTTGATATGAACAGAAATTTACTGCAGTAGTTAAACAGTCTCCAAACCAAGTTATTCACTCGTATATAGGTTAAGTTTCTAATTGCCTGTTATGGAGAACACATTCTCTCCACCCAAGGGCATGCTCATTTACCTAAAACCAGGAAGCTTCATGTGCAAATTGGCAATGGTTAACGCTGCTTGGAATGTATGAGAAATGTAGCAAGTTGGCTTATGACAACAACTGATCTTGTGAGCTGTTGCAATATGACCCTAGAACGCTGTTTTGAGTTTCATGAGTTCATTGGTGAATGTGAATAAATTGTAAACAAATGAGTCTCTTTATAATAAGTCAGCATATTTGATCAGTGATCTTTATTCAGCCTTGCCTTGTTTTGGAGGCAACAAAGGAACTGGTCTCCTTGTCTCTAATGAAGTTGCTACCCTAAATATTAGGCAACGCTCTTTCCTATTCTACTAATCTTGCGTTACTGTTTTCATTTCAGATCACTTGAAGAATGTGTACTGCAGACTCCCACGTACTCATGGAAAAGTTTTTTTTGTTTAGATCTGGCATTCTGAAGGTAAGAGGTGATGAAATTGGGTGGATTGGGAGGCGAGGTTAAGGAAATCAATCACAGAAACACCCTAACACATGTCTGTTGGTGCTTATGATTTCCCTGTTAGGTTACACAAGATAGCAACAGCATTTGTTCTGAAAGTGTGGGCATGGTCTACCTGGCACTTGTATTCAGGATTGTAGCAACATAGTACACTCTTCTTCAGCATGTTATCCTTTCCAAACGCTGCACACCTTTGAAACAAAAACAGAAGTTGTTGGAAAAGCTCAGCAGGTCTGGCAGCATCTAAAGATAAATCAGAGTTAATGTTTTGGGTCCTGGGAGCCTTCCTCAGAACAGGCTGCACACTTTTGGACTGCAGAGTGTTTCTCCACATAATTCAGAATTTGATGTTAAAAATGGTACTTCGCGCTTATTTTTTTTTAGAAAACAGCTTTAAACTTCACAATGTAATTGACTTTTCCTGTCAATTGGTGCCCCAAGCTGAATGAAACATTCACTTATCAGGAAACAGCGTGTTTGCCAACAGACTGGAAACGGCTCTGTAGACTCTGAATAGATCATAAAAGACCGGACTTGCAGCAAAGTTACCTGGACAATTAAGAAATATTTTTGTTCGGAAGAATGAAAGAAATATCCCTAACATGTTAACAAAAAAAGGCTAATGCTGACTAACAATAGATGCCAGATTCAAACCTGTTCGTTTTGGTTCGTTTAATATTTGAATCCCTGACTTGTCACAAAGGAATCAAAAAAACATACATTGAGGTTTATTGTTTTCACTGCAATTATACAATTGTATTTTTAAGTAGAAAGTTAGCAAAAAAAGCAGCAGATTATGTTTAATATAAATTTCAGCTTTCCTATCCAGTGTTGCGGCACAAGCTAGTACGACGCCAGAAGCATTAAATGTACATATTTACCTACAATATTTGGTCCCTCAGTAAAATGAATAAGGTGCCCACCAACTCCCTTTAGCTCTTGCCGGATCAATGCACTAAGTCTCCGTCCTGGTGTATTGACCTGGTGTGGAGCGCGATCTCGGATATGTAACCGGGTAAAGCCAGAGAGCGAACCCCCGACGCAGCTCTCTAGGAGCTGGGTCCCCCATCGAGGAAAGCGGCAGCATGTGTGGCTATGAAAAGGCGTCTAGTCACTTAGAGAAGGTGCACAGGGCGACTACCTGTCCTGGATTCAGTGAGAACAGCATCCGAACAGACTGAGACCAGGGGCAGAGGAGAGAGGGAGAATAATCAGGAGAAACGTGTGGACAACGAGACGTTGAGAGAGAACGAGAAAGAAGACGATGTGTGTGAAAATAAAACAGTGCCCGGGTGAATGAAATCCGGGACAGAAGAAACCGGCTTCTGTCTCTGGATCGGAATCCCTTTCCTAATGTTAAAATCCGTAAAAAAAAAGGTTTCTTTAAAAAAAATAACAAAATCAGCAACTCCAGCCTTGAGCCTAAAGGCAGAAATCTCTCCCGGCGCTCGATTTCCCAGGGACCGACCATGTGGTGGGGCGAACGGGAGAATCTCTGCTGGTCCCTGAAACAGAGCTGTCAATCCCGGACCGTGCGGTCACCAGTCAGGACCCAGCTTCACCTTCTCTGCTACAACCGGCACAGACCGCTCTGGGAGTCGGGTGGGGGGGTGGTGGTGAGGGGAGGCAGGTCCGACTCAAGAGCAAAACAAAACCCAGAAATTGCTGGAAAAGCTCAGCAGGGTCTGGCGGCATCTGTGAAGAAGAAAAAACAAATCAGGGGTTAACGTTTCGGGTCCGGTGACCCTTCCTCAGATTGAAGAGTTTGTCTCACATGGACTGAGGACAGTTTAGGTTCATTGGCAGACAAGCGGGAGAGGATTTGGGGTTATTGGCGATGTCTCTCTCTCTCTCTCTCTCTGGGTCTCATTTTCTCCCCCCAACCCCCCAGCTTTTAGACTTTAGTAGCAGAGGAGGGCGCTTCGGATTTGGTGGGGTTGCTCATGCTGGAGGAGATGGATGTGATCGGGGTGTGCAGAGCTTTCTTTAGCCGGGAACAGCGCAGCACACAAAGACACTCTGAGCGAAATCGCTGATCAAAGAACGCGTAGAGGAACGGGTTGAGGCAGCTGTTAATGTAAGCGACACATGTAGCGTAAGGATGAGCCGAGATTAAGAATTCATCGACGGAGCACGGGATCTTGATGAGATCCAGCCAGATGATTGCATCGATGGTCTTAATGATGTGGAAAGGGAGCCAGCAAATGGCGAAGACCAGGACCAGGGCCGTGATGATCTTGAGGAGGCGTTTTTTCTTCTGTTCTTCCTTCTTGACATTCTGGAAGTGCCTGGTGACCGTGTTGCCAATGGCAAAATAGAAGCCGGACATCAGCAGGAAAGGCAGCAGGAAGCCCACGGTGCTGGCGAACAGGCTGAGACCCCCCACCCACAAATGCTCAGTGTTGTCATTCGCCACCAGAGAGTAGTCCATGGCACAGACGGTCTGGTTCTCTTTTTCCTGCGTCCGCCGCAGTATTAAAGCTGGAGAAGCCAGGACGCCCGACAGGGACCAGATAAGGACCAACGAGAGGATGGTGGTCCTCTTGGAGCGCAGCTTGTTGCTAGACAGAGAGTGGACAATGGCCAGATAGCGGTCAAAGCTGAGGCAGGTCAGGCAGAAGACGCTGGCGTACATGTTGATCATCACCAGGTAACTACTGAGTTTACAGAGAAGCCAGCTGAAAGGCCAGTGATAGTCCAGGGCAGCGTACACAGCCCACAGGGGTAAAGTGACCACAAAGGCCAGGTCAGCCAAGGCAAGGTTCCCGATGTAGGTGTCTGCAGATCTCCTCTTGGTGCGGGACTTCCACACTATGCAAATGACCACTCCATTCCCGGACAGTCCGAAGACGAAGACCAGCATGTAGAGAACAGGAACCACTGAGTTCGAGTGCTCCCAGTCAGCGTAATCGCAGTCATTGTAGTCAGAAAAGTTCATCAGCTCACTGTAGTTTCCCTCCGCGAACTGACTCATTAAGTTATCCATAGGGATCAGCTTCACAGAGTGGGAAAGTTCTAACTGTGGACTGGAGTTTGCATGCGGGCTGATATAGCCTACGGGTCCGCCTCTGAAGATAAGAGCCCCCATTCCTAAACCAATCAGCAGCTCTTAAAGGGACAGATTCAGTTACACACCGAGTCAGCAACACCATCCCTTAAAGATACAGTGTCCCCCCCGCGTGTACTTCACCAATTTGCGTCCGCACATTCCCGATGCGCGGGCACTTAATTCATCATTACTCAGGACGAAACTAACAAGCCAAAATGCTAGAGGTGTTTGTGTGTGTGTGTGAGAGAGAGAAAGTGGCGCTGAACCTGAATTGAGATGCACTTTGCCAGATTTTAAATTTCTGGCTCAGGTTTTGAGTTCCAAAGTTTGAGTGAATTTAGAATGGCAGACTGATAAGGGAATAACCCGATTTTCATTTAGAACGGGAAGTATTTAACTCCTCCAATCTATTCCCTTACACGGTCCCGGGTTTACTGTGCTGAAATTTGGCGAGTTCGCTCAATATTACCAGGTAAATGCGCGCTTTAGAACATTTGTTGACACCCACACGCTCAAAAAAGCCTCAAACATTAGTCAGTTGGATACAGAGATCCTGAAACAACACCCAATTAAAATAGAACATAACAAGGCAGACAGCACCCAAATGATAGCGGGAGACCGAGACTTCACCCTTCAAATTCAGAGGGACGTAACAAGCAGGGAGGCCCCTGTACAGAACTCAATCAACACAGAGGCCACAAAGAGATGAAAAGTAAGAAACACTCGAGACAACGCTTGTTTATACGGTAAATAGTCAACCGCTCGATTTCGTGTCCATATCCAATGGAACACAAATACATTCCACCCATGTGCCATGAGATTAGAGTACAGAAAATAAATAAATACAAAGTGGGAACTCTGAGGGACTTGAAAAAGACTGAGCCAGGTTAAGGGGGTGTTTTACTACTTCGGCCACTTCACGTTTGTCGAACGAAGCCAAAGAATGGTTTATTGATGCACCGCGAAAGTGTTGCGAATTAAAAGCCCGAATAATTTCGATTTTACCAACGTGATGAACAAGTCCATTTCGGATACTAACACGAGGCAGCGAAAATCACTCCTTGGGTTATGGGCTGCTAACCTCTCTGATCACTTAACCATTTCCAGTGACATTTCTTTTAACATCAGAGTAACTGAAGGACCATGACCTTTGAACTGTGGTCCGCCAAGGTGAATTGCCTTCAGAGATAGAATTGTTTATTTCTCAAAATTCAACCCACTAGGAGAATGTTCCAAATTGAATTTTTTTTGTTTCATAATGCCCAAAACCTGCATATTCCAAAAAAAGTGTTGTCAATCTAAACAAGTATCCACTGACTACATACACCAATTTCAACATTTGCTTGATTTCACCATTCCAGTTCTGATGAAAACATGTCATCGGACCTATAACTCTTCTTTCTTCTCACAGATGCTGCCAGACTTGAGTTTCTCCAGCAGTTTCTGTTTTTGTTTCTGAGAAAAGGTCACCGGACCCAAAACGTTAACTCTTTTTTTCTTCACAGATGCTGCCAGACCTGCTGAGCTTTTCCAGCAACTTCTGTTTTTGTTTCTGTTTTTGTTTCAGCATTTTCTATATTTCAAGTCATGGCCTTCTCTTGACCGCAGTGGTAGGAATTGAGGAGCCATACAGAATACAATGGGAAACTTTCAGGCTTTGACCCTGGCCTGTGCTGTGTTCGTTGACCTCACTAGAATTTCAAGAAGGATATTTTAATTGGTCTGATTTCTGGTCCAGAGTTGAGGCAAACCTAACAGATTTCATCCTTCCAATGGCTATGTAGCAACTATAGCTGAAGATAATTATCCTGCAGCAGTAAAATTGTTCCTTTGATGAGGGTATGTCCAACTTGGGTTACGGCATTCTTAACAGGCAAAAAACTTGTTGACAATCCCTGTTTAAGCTAGAATGAGTTGAACTCAGAGGCCATCGGAGCTTGTGGATACACAGTGAGTATTAAACCATGGGGAATTTGTTGGGAAAGCAACACAACCTGTGTCCTCATGGTACAACTGCTTAATGTAGGAGAATGTTGGCATTAATTCTGGGAGACAGAATAATATTTATGCTATGTACAATAATGTACAGGAAGGGTGGAAAGATCAACTGTTATAATAATCAACAGGGAATGTGTGGGTTGCAAAGTTATTTTTAATGAGTAGTACAGATTATTGAATTGCTTCATAATCTTCATATTGCAAAGGGACATTGTTCAAAACCAGTCTATTCTGTGCAAATATTCTGCTGCATGCAAAATAATCCCTAAGGTATTAACAGCACTTCGATCAGCACCTTAGCTAAGATCGCCAAACCAGATGGTATGTTACCATTTATAACAAAAATATTGGAGTATAAAAGAAAAGACATCTTTCTACAATTGGTGTTATGTATGCTGTTTTAGTTTCGTTTCCTAAATAAGAATATATCTTTGTTGGAGGGAGTGCAGTGAGGTTTCATTCAACTGATTCCTCGACAACAGGATATCCTATGAAAAGAGATTGAGTAGACAAGTCCCATATTTTGTAGAGTCTACAAGAATGACAGCTGATTTAATTGAAACATGTAAAATTCTTAAAGGAATAGTAAGAACTGCGATGCTGGAGTCAGAGATAACACAGTGTGGAGCTGGAGGAACACAGCAGGCCAGGCAGCATCAGAGGAGCAG